TGTATCATTTTAGTGATTTACGTGCCAATTTCTTATTCCAGCTCAGAGAACGCTGGTCTTCGAATCGTTGTTCAATCTTTAAATAAAGATAATAATTTCTTAATGCAGCACGTTAAGACTTCTACTTTCGTCGTAATTGGTACGTGTTGTATTTACACAACAAGAATTGCAAAATTTGTAAAAAATCTTTTGTAGAAAAGTGTAGAAAATTGTACGACTGTTTGTACTATTTTAGTGTTCTTGTTGATTTGATTGAGCTTAATATCATATTAATTTGTGTTGACAAGCTAATTTTAATATTCTACAATATGCATATTCTAGCTTTTCAACTGATAAATCTGATCTGTTCGATGATATATTTTTCCAGTTTCTATAATTTTCGCTTAGCGGCAAGTGGAAACGTCCATCCTTGTCGTACGCCACTCCATTGGTCAACAAAGTTCCCGTCCATCAAAATGTTAATTCTTGATTCTTTAATTTTTTACTCGTGTTCGACGTGTGTTATTTCAATCGATAAATCATTCATGGATCATAGTCCAATTGGACCAGTCTCAGTGTGAGCGTCAGTTTCTTCGTAATTTTTCTGAGCTCGTTCAAAATTGAATGAAACTCGAATTCAGTTGAATCCAGTGTGAAAATTAAAAAATCACGAATGGAAAGTTAAGAAATTATGAAAAAAAAGAAGCTACGAATAGTAACAACTCACTTGTTAGTGCTATTGTATAGCCAGCTGTTGAACTCACTCGTAGCATAATCCGTACACTCTTTGACATGAGCTCTGCAAGCCCAGTCTATTGCGTTTACTCTGAGAAGTTTGTCGAGATCGGTGTCGTTACTTCTCGGTTTGTATTGTACTTCATTCGTCACGGCTGTCAGTATACTCCGAACGTAATTCTGCAATAATTTTGAACGTATTTTAGTGTAATATCTCAAGAGGAACGTAATGTGTGTACGTCGACTATTTCTCAGATCGTGTTTCATGCAAAATTGGTTGCCTGCCTGTTTTAAAATTGAAGAAAAAAATGCAAGTTCATAAATAAGCTTGTTTATAAAACTTTTCTCCAGATTCTCGAAAGACTTGCGCAAAATATACATGATACGTAATTAAATAAACAAATATAGACAAACATACAAATAAATAATATATATTAATATGTCTAATAAAATATGAAAACTCTCTCATCGAGAAAAATACAAAAGATACCAGATTTCTGGAAATATGAATTTGCCTAAATATTCACAGTCTATCGTGAATAAAGATTTCGTTTCAAAAGACAATTCACAGCCTACTATAATGTTATTCGGTCGAAATTTTTCAATATAAATAAAACTAATGATTCTCCAAATTTTTCGCTACCGAACGAAACAACTTCCAATCTTATCAGTGAATATTCATTCAAATAATTTCTCAGATACTTTCTAAACCTTGTACCTCAACACTGTCGTTTTATTTGAATAATTTTATTTGAATCCAACCCGAAGAATGAAAATTATCATTTAAGTACAGTGAACTCTCGCGTCATATGAAACATGAATTATCTACATTTCAGGTTTTCCTAATATCTAGGAGAAATGTTTTCACAAACAGAACGCATCCAAAAAAAAAAAAATGCTAAATTTATCGTAGCTAAATTTTCCATGAGTATTAGTCGCAATTTAATGTTTTCGTCTCGTTGCACGAATTCGTGTTATTTCAAATGGTTGTTTCTCGAAAGCTCGATGAAAATCGAATATCCCCTCGATTAATTTTTATCATGTAACAAACACGCATGTACCTGGAACATGGTGTAATATTCGGATGTACGCAACAAGTTGTGCAGGAACTGCAAGTGCCTGAAGCTTGCCTGCCAAACTACGTAATCTCTTTCTCTAGTAAGGAAAGTCATGAGCTCCAAGGCGATCTTGTAATCCAGCCAATTGATGCGGGCCATGGTCAAAGCGTCGTCGATCAGCTGCGCACGGTTCGTAGGGTGCACGTCGTAATTTTTCGAATTCAATAGTTTTGACAACGATTCCCAGATTGCAGGCTCGTAATTCACGCGATAGTAACCTAAAGCAGAATGTTTAAGAATTGAAAAGAAGAAAAAAAGAATTGAAAAGAAGAAGAAAATAGACTGGAAGAGTTGTTTAGTAATATATCGTTTGTTTTTCTTTAAAATTGTTGAATATTTGTACAAGTTTCACATCAACTTGTCAAATTTTCACAAAGCTGGAACGCTAGAAGTTGCAAGATGCAGCGACAAGTGGACAGTTAATAATTAATAATTAAATAATTTAATAACAATTTAATTTAATAATTTACTAATATAATAAATAATAATTAGTAAGTTAAAAATTAAATAATATATTAAATAATAATTAATAATTTAATAATTAAATAATATATTAATAATATATTAAATAATAATTAATAATTTAATAATTAAATAATATATTAATAATATATTAAATAATAATTAATAATTTAATAATTTAATAATATATTAAATTATAATAATTTAATAATTAAATGATATATTAATTTAGTAATATTATAAATAATAATTAATAATTTAATAATTAAATGATATATTAATTTAATAATATAATAAATAATAATTAATAATTTAGCGAATTATCATTTGATAATTGATTAATTCGATAGTTATATTAATGATAATTATTATTCACCGAATTTGTATACGTAAAAGATTTAATAAAATTCAGCTGGAAACTTTCTCAGAGGTTTGACATAATCGAACCTAAATACATCATTTCTTGAACTGTTTTAACATCAAACACGAGGGAAAATTTTAGAATAAAATTGTAACAATTTTATTCCTTCTTTCCAATCTCTCTCGCAAGAGATTATCCCTAAATTTTCTATCAATCGATGATTATGACGATGAATAATGACTGTGTTGGAAGTATTTGCAATTTGCACGCATACTTAGAGGAACGGTCAATATATGTTTCTTCGCTACATTTATGTTCGTTCTCCTATTGAGAGTGTGGTAATATATTAATTTGAGATACTATTCACTGTCTAATTCTAATAGATTGTGTTTCCTTCTCGGACACATGTTAAATATATGCAACATTACAAACCTGCTTGTTTCACATTCACAATAATCCATTCCTCTTCGCCACTGACAGGAATGACCAGTTTCTCTTTATTTGGAGCCAACCATCCTCTTGGATGTGTATTATTGAAGCTCATATTCTTACTCGTGACGTAACTTACAGGCACCCACCATTTCGTCTTATTATTGTTAGTTACGTATATTGTGGGTTCATACAGTCTGAACTGTTGTTGTTGCAATTCGAACGTATTGTTCACCTTTTTCACGGTTACCACCGGATATCCTGGTTTGTTCACCCAATTGTCCATGATCTCTTCGAACGAAACTCCACTGTAATTCCTGCCATTTCCAAGCTGACGAAGAAGAATATTCGAGTTGGCAGCTTTCAATTGACTGTAATCATTGTTATCGTTATTAGTACAGTAAGAAGTACAACTCATCCGACGAGAGAGACGAGATAATACACAGATATATGTATTTAAGGTTCTGATTAAAAATAACAATTTTATCAGTTTTAATCTAGTCTTAATAACAATTAATTTAATATTAAATGCTGTTGAATCTTAAAAGTTATTTCTTTGAAAGCTATGTTACAATATGATGACAATTATAAAATAACAATTATAATTGTCTTCGCGACTTCGTAAATTATAAATGTATTTTAAACATACGTACTTGCTAGTCAGATATCTGTTCAAGCTCTTCTGGAAATCTTCCTCGCCCAAAATATGTGACATCATTCGAATAACCGATCCAGCTGAAAAGATATCAACAATTACTTTAGTCACGTGTGATCTTCTCTGAAAGCTAAATTATTTCTTTCATTTTTTTTCTTTCATTTCTTTCTTCCTTTTTTCCCCTAATTTCTTCATTTCATGTTTCATTGATGTTTAATTAGTAGATAGCGTTATGGTACTCAAATCAAGAAAGTATAGAAAACTTTTATATTAAAAAATTTTATATAATGAGGCATTCAGTGAAGAGCATAATTGAATTAGTAATGATGGAAAGTTACCAATTATTTAAATTGTATCATAATAAAAAGTTGTATAATAGTTCACTTGGTCTTATTTCGAGACATGAAAATTATTTTCCAGTCTATTTATTTTTTATTTACATCGTACAGCGATTAAGAGAATAAAGATGCTTTTTTCCCTTGAAAGTTGTAAAATTTGATCGTCTGTAAAGACATTGAAAACTATTTTTCACGATCAGACCTACCATGGTCTTGAGATTGAAATCTTCTCTTTACAACGATCTCTCAAAACTTATTGTACGATTTTTTTTTTACTATTTTATTGAACTTCGAACATTAGGGTTGAACGATAAAAATTCAAGAAATTCCAACGTCTCGTTATTTAACTCTATATTCAAAATTCAATAGAACGGTAAAAAAAGAATCATACAGTAAATTTTAAAGAGTCGTTGTAAAAAGGAGGCTTCAATCTTTAAGATCATGATAGATTTACCTGCAGAAAAAATTTTTCAGCCTTCTTACAAACGTTTGAACTTTTGCAATTTTTTTGAAAAAAAAAAACATCCTTATTTCGTTAAATGCAATTGCATTTTATAATTTATATTTATACTTTATAATTTATGTGATATTTGCCTTTAACTTTTGTTTATCACTGTACAATTAATGCTAATGATTTAATTGTGACTTATTAATTTAATCTTGTGACTCATTTCTATGATCTCAGCTTAATGAAATCTCTCAACGAATATTTCCTCTTCTATATACATTTTCAAATGAATTTCAAATTTAACCTTCAAGTAATATCGTTACTACACTATACACGATTAATAATTTACATTACGTCACGAAAATTTAGAATATTTGATTGTTTTCTGTAATTAACATTACTGAATGTTTAGTCTTATTTTCTATTCTCCCTGATTAAGACCTAAATTAATTTAAAAATTTCATTTGAAACTCTTGCAAATGAGTATAAATAAATTCTTATGAATTCTTACGATATCATGATATCAATTAGAAACTAATCGTAGTCATGATAATTGTGAGTAAAATTCCAAATATAATTATCCACGAGTGCAATGTGTGTGTGTGTGTGTGTGTGTGTGTGTGTGCTATGTTTCCTAACGACGATTCGCGAATTACGATCCTCAACTCGCTATTGTCGACCATCTTACCTTTTATCATTCATCAGATAATATTTAGGCCAAAGGTTTAACGTGATTGATTGATAAGATAGATACGCATTATCTACGCATTGTCATTGGCGTTGTTCAATAAATTGAAATTATTGAAAGTTAATACAGGTGTTTGCTCGCATTCGTTTCTTTTTTCTTTTTTTCTTTTCTCTGCGTTTTCTTTCTTTTTCTATCTGATAAAGAACGTTGCATCACACTCTTAATACTCTGGGACATACTTAACAGGAGCTATTTCTAATAACACGTTCGATAAAGTATCTCACATTTCTGGTAGGCGATATTGTCGAACAGGTTGCTGATTCCTTGAGGCGTGTTCACCTCGTGGTTCATGGGGCGTTGATTTTCCAGTACGTCCGCGGCGAAAGAGACTCCTTGTATATTGTTAACGACGAACAATTCGTCCAATCGCCACTCGGGTTTTACCTACAAAAATTATTGCAAATGTTAGACATCGTTGTTACGACGGACAGAACCTGAAATATTTAATATTATTGTAATATTTAATGAAATATTTAATATTAATTGTAATGTAATATTATTGTGATATTTAACAAGAACTGAAAGATATACGTATACAGCTAGCGAACGAAAGAAAGTTCAAATTTGATACGTATTCACATACGCGGTGAATATCATTCAGCCAGATTTAAATTATTTTATTTCTATTCGATTTCACAATATAAATACAAGTAAATTTCTTTAGAGCAAAAGTAATTAAATAATTCTTCTTATATTCTATAATTAAATTATACATAAATTATTAATGAAATTCTCTTAAAGTGAAATTATTCTATTTTACAAACTAAATGTAAATGGAAAAAAGAATTAAATTTCTTTAGAGCAAAAGTAATTAAATAATTCTTCTTATGTCCTATAATTAAATTATACATAAATTATTAATGAAATTCTCTTAAAGTGAAATTATTCTATTTTACAATCTAATTTACAATTCTATTTTACAATCAATGTAAATGGAAAAAAGAATTAAATTTCTTTAGAGTAAAAGTAATTAAATAATTCCTCTTATATTCTATAATTAAATTATACATAAATTATTAATAAAATTCTCTTAAAGTGAAATTATTCTATTTTACAAACTAAATGTAAATGGAAAAAAGAATTAAATTTCTTTAGAGCAAAAGTAATTAAATAATTCCTCTTATATTCTATAATTAAATTATACATAAATTATACATAAATTATTAATGAAATTCTCTTAAAGTGAAATTATTCTATTTTATACAATCTAAATGTAAATGGAAAAAAGAATTAAATTTCTTTAGAATAAAAGAAATTAAATAATTCCACTTCTATTCCATAATTAAAATTAATACACATTAATAAAATTCTTCTTGCAAAAATATTATGCGATACCGTATACGTGTACAGACGTGTAATCGTATCTATTAATTGCGAATATAATCCTGTTTTAAAAAATTTCCTGGTCTTATCTAGCGTATTTTTCGGACTTCTATTTTATCGCTATGCTTATTAATTGATACAGAGATAAGAAACGTACGTGGGACAGTCACTCCAGGTAACTCGTAATCAAAATTCGCCGAGAACGACAAACATTGTAATCGATTTTACGAATATCCTCTAACAACAAATTAATAGAACACAGATAGCAGAGACGATTGTTTTGCTCACCTTGTGAGTAAGGAAGTACTCGAAATAGTCGGCGAATCCTTCGTTCAACCAGATGTACGTCCACCATTGCGGGCTGACGAGATTTCCGAAATATTGGTGTGCGAATTCGTGTGCTATGACCGTAGTCACCCGCATCCTCTGAGCCACGGTGTCATTGTCTTCAGTGAGAAGTGCCGACTCCCTATAATTAAAAGTTTGAGAACGACGTTATAAAAATACTATATATCCTTTTTTAAAATTCCTTGGAAACGTTGCAAGCGTAACTTTTGTCCAACGATGACACAAAATGAAATATCCTTCGAGTAATTACATTTTGAAATATTTTTGCAACAGGCCTAGTTATTCGGGAAATTTATTCCAGAAGATAAAAAGCTGAGCGTCGATCAAGCGCGTTGGTGCGAAAATTTAAAAAAGAACCGGAGAAACAGAGTCAACAGGTGTGGAAATTGCAAATCTTGTTACGAAAAGAAGTAATTTCTTCTGTTATTTTGTAAAAATTTTGTAATTTCTTTGTTATTACCGAGATTCTCATTGAAGAATGAAATTCTCTATACTGGACGAATGAAACTTAATGTTGATAATACCGTTTATTATATGTTACTAGAGTATTAATTTCCACGCATTTATGGGAAGACACGCACCTACATAACACACGTACATTATGTATATAAGTATATTAACAGTATATAAGTATCGACAGTATATAGTATGTTAGACACTATTAACGGTAATATATATTATATATTATACTTAGTTGGAAATATGTTATCCTACTTGAATCAATTTTGTTGTTATTAAGTAAACCAATTATTTTATCATTGATTACGAGAGATTACATTTACGTAATACTCATGCTAAGCACTCAAAGAGATAAACGATGTTTAACGACGAATGTCCGCAGTTTGCTTATTATTTATAATACGATGATATGAGTGAAATATATTAATATAGTTAAATTAGTTATATATAGTATACAATTATAATACATTTTAGATTAATATATAATTATAATACAATTAGTTTAATATAGTATAATTATATACTATCATAATTATACTATATAATATAATATCATAATACTATTTAGTATAATTATATAATATCATAATACTATATAGTATAATTATATAATATCATAATTATACTACATAGTATAATTATACTATTATAGTATTATTATTATTATTATTATTATTATTATTATTATAGATATTAATATAGTATAATTATATATTATAGTATTATTAAATATTATTAACAGTATATAATATATTATACACTATTATAATTATATACCATTATAATATATAGCTGTATAGTAAATTAGTATATATATTAAAATAGTATAAAAGTACATAGTATAAAATAGTATAACAATATAATATTATATACTATATATTAATATAGTATAATTATACACTATTATTCTATACTATTAACAGTATATAAGTATCGACAGTATATAGTATGTTAGACACTATTAACTGTAATATATACTATTGAATATAATATATACTATAATATATATAATTATATACTATTATAATATATAGCTATATAGTAAATTAGTATATATATATATATATATATTAAAATAATATAATAATATATAGTATAAAATATAGTATAATAGTGTAATATTATATTCTATATATTAATATAGTATACTATATAATTATATACTATTATTCTATACTATTAACAGTATATAAGTATCGACAGTATATAGTATGTTATACACTATTAATTATACTATATACTATTATAATATGCTATCAACAGTAATAGTATGTTATATACTATTAGCAGTATAGTTAAGTTAGTATAGTTATAATTGGCGCTATAAACGGCAATGTAATCAATCTTGAGCGAAAAACGTGGCGTTTCGTTTCCCTCAGAAATGAAATCATTCTATTCATCCCTTATCACATCAAGTTTTTTAGAATCTACTACACTCGAGAAGCACTCGACGAGCACGACGTTGAAACATGTACTTTGATCCGCCAAATCGTTGAAACGTTCGATCAGCTTCGTCATTCGATCGCTGCGATAATTACCTGTAAGTGACGAGACCCCAATTCTCCATAGCTCCCGCGGAGAAATTTCTCAGCGACACTTGATCCATCTTCGGCATGTAATTGCTAAATTTGATTGCCGTGTAAGCCTCCATCGCCTCCAGCAATTGCCTACCTAGTCGCAGGGCGTATCGCGTTTGATTGATCGACTGCGGTTTCGTCCAAACTCGGAATTGCATCTCCTTACTCTTATCCTCCGTGTATTCGTAATCCGAGACTACGAACGCCACCAAATAAGTGGACATCGGTGGTGTTACTTCAAACTCGGTGAACCTCCATGTGTCCTCCGTGGTGTTCGATAACAGCTTACTTTTAATCTCGTTCATGTTCGATATCGCCCGGTATTCTTTCGCCTTCGAATTTATTACAAAAATTTTGAAGGGCGCCTTGATGGCCGGCTCGTCCCAGCAGGGGAACGCCAATCGTGCACCGGTTGGCTCGAAGTGAGTCGCCGCCACGTATCTGTAACGGGAGAACGAAACGTTTTCTTGAACGTGATGATCGGTTTGCTATGAGAAAAATGTCTGTAACATCTTCGTATAATTTTTGATATATATATATAAAATAATTTAATTTTTATATTATAGTATAATTTATGTTATATATTAATTTAATATAATTATATTAATAATAACATAATTACATTATATATTAATTTATATATAATTATATATAATAATAATATAATTATATTATATATTAATTTATATATATATATAAATAAATATAATTAAAAATATAAATTTTTAATATCCTAAATATCAAAATATAATTAAAAATTAATATAATTTAAGAAAGTTTTATAATTAAAGTATTTGATTTGCCACGAGAAAAATGTCTGTAACATCTTCGTATAATTTTTGATATATATATGAAATAATTTAATTTATATATTATAGTATAATTTATGTTATATATTAATTTAATATAATTATATTATATATTAATTCATATATGTAAATTAATATAATTAAAATTATAAATTTTTAATGTCCTTAATATCAAAATATAATTAAAAATTAATTTAATTTAACAAAGTTTTACAATAAAAGTATATTTTAGTAATAATTAAAAATTAATAATATTATTAACAGTTCAAAATAAATGAAAATGAATTTTTCAGAAGTAAATAAGTAAAATTTTGCAATTTTTTAAGCAAAATATACATAGCGATTTTCGAAAGAAAAAAAAAAAAGGAAATATATCAAATGTCGGACATTTATTCACCTAGATTAGTATCATTTCCCCAAATATTCTTCCCTTCATATTTTCGTATTTTTCTCGTGTATTTCATCTTCGTGTTTTTTTAACTCGTTAAAGGGTGAATAAATAAATAAATAAACAAACTAACAAGTGAATAAATAAACAAACGAATCAGCAAACAAGTAAATAACTAATCGAACGAACGAATGATTCACATCTTTCACCTCATGTTCCAAAACGTTTCGATCGACTTATTATTACGTCCAAACTTTCTTGTCGTTTCTTTTGGAATACAAGAGTGAAAGATGTATCGATACTTCACCATATTGATCGAACGTATTCAGAGAAAGGTATCCTTACGTCGGCGTGCCGTCCTTTTTGGTAGAACTGCTCCTGTAGAATCCTCTCAGTTGATCGTTCAAGGTACCGTTATACTCTATTGTGAGAACATATTTCTCATTTTTGACGATCTTCTCCGGAAGGTTGATGGTCAGAATTTCGTATTTGTCGTCCAGGACGATCGTCTTGATCAGATCTTGTGTTTGATTGGTCGAATTAGTCATATGAACGCTGTTTATAGTAAGATTCTTCGAGTTCAGCGTTATAGTTCGGCTGTCATTGGTTGCCGTGATAGTGGCCTGCATAATGCCGGAGAACGTGTAGCTGTCCATATTGACTGTCAAATATAAATTGTACTCCATTGGTACAGCTTCCAGCGGCAGTCTGTACTTCGGATCGTTCGCCTGAGGGCTGGCCGCATCTCCTCGTGCAAGACTCGCAAACGTCAGGCTGACGAGCAACGGTATCAATATTCCTGCCATCCTCGATCACCTGGATGCTCCAGCTCGATTATTCTCTGTTTCGTCAAACACATGTTCACTCGTTACAAACGCCGTCGATGTTTTTCGATCTCGATCGCGTTAATTTGAACGTACGCTCTCGTCACTTGACAAAAATAGGATGCAACTACATATATTACGAATAATATTACGATTATGTAATATTATATATATTATATATAATATATATAATATAATATTATATATAATATATAATATATATAATGTAATATTATATAATATTATATATAATATATAATATTATGAATAACATTATATAATCGCAGTAATATAATGTTAATCGTTTATATAGTATTATACAGACGTAACATTATATTATAATATTGCGAATATTAATTATACAATTAGTTATCGTTTTCTAGATTGTTTAATTCACAGTGTTGGTTATTGTGACTTAATTCTGAAACCGGAAGCTGATGATTCAACAGCTCCACGAAACGATCTGCGACTGACTCATACGTTGCATTTCTTTGATCATTTCTCTTTGTTAATTGATAATCGATATTTTCAACTATGATTTTAATGTTAAATATCAAACCGATTGAATCATTTGTGCAGACTTTTCGACCGCTTTCTGGAGAAGTATAGTGTTTTTGTTAACACGCGAAGTATATTACACTTGCAATTTGTTGGAAATTCGTTAGTGAACGAAATTTATCTCATTTTGATCTAACCGATAAGGCCGTTTGATTCTTCAATTATTGAATTGCAGAAAGTAATATCGGGACACATTAATAACGTGTTAATCTTCTAAGTAGCGGCCGTGCGTTTTATTTAGTTGATCAAGTGTTAATTCTTTCATTTTTTTTTCCTTTTTCCGTAAATAAGCTCGTTTTCAAGATTTCAAATTTCGAACGCTTGCTTTGACAAACTACATGCAGTGTTAATTTCACGTTAAGACATCGTTAAGCTGTACGAATAAAATAAAATTGATCAAGAAATGAGCAAGAAAAACAGAGTCATGTCAACGTTGTAAATCATTTTGTTCGAAATGAGCAAACATGTCAGATAACTTTGTGGACGAGGGTATACGCTCATATTTCAATATCGATAACAATATCGAGTGGCTCGAAATTCGCGATAAATTTCCAATGTTCGTGCTTACGTCTTCGTTGCAATGTTCGTTGGGTACGTCTTATATGCGTAAGTATAATACCTCGACCGGTTTGAACGATTATTCTTCATTTAATTGTAACGTACACGGTTAATGTCAATTATAAATAACTTCAAACTTACTTAATTAATATCAAATTTAAATAATTGAATTTTTTATCAAATATCAAAGTATCATCAAATATAAATAATTGAAAAGCAAAATTGATTTGAAAACGACTGAAGAATTTACAGAGTGTCTTAGCACTTTGAGACACGAGATGCATGTTTTCAGTCACACCTACAAAATGTTACAAATAAAATATTAATAATTATAACAATATTAAAATTATTTAATAATAATTAGTAGTATTAAAATAATATTAAATATTATAAAATATCAATAATTATAATAATATTAAAATTATTTAATAATTAATTAATAATATTAAAATAATATTATATATTATAAAATATCAATAATTATAATAATATTAAAATTATTTAATAATAATTAGTAGTATTAAAATAATATTAAATATTATAAAATATCAATAATTATAATAATATTAAAATTATTTAATAATAATTAGTAACATTAAAATAATATTAAATGTTATAAAATATCAGTAATTATAATAATATTAAAATTATTTAATAAAAATTAATAATATTAAAATAATATTAAAATTATTTAATAATAATTAGTAAAATTAAAATAATATTAAATATTATAAAATAATTATAATAATATTAAAATTATCTAATAATTAATTAATAATATTAAAATATTACAAAGTATTTGTACTGCTACTTCTTCTAGTCAGGTATTTATCAGAAATGAGTATGAAACTTTTCAATGATATAAATTGAATTAGATTTGGCAGAATCTCATCTCAGTTGTGGAAAATTAACAACAGAAAAATGTTTTGTGCATGGAATTGTAAATTGTTCAAATTGTAATAGCATTGCAGTATTATAGTAATATTGCAAATTATGATATTTATACACGATGGTGTACGTACAACGTTCCAATGAATGTAGAAACACGAACGAGAAGAAAATATCGTGAACGCAAATAAAATCGAAAGTGACGTCTGATTAACTTCTTAAATTTATGATCGTTCCTCAGGTGTAAATTTCAATTTCCTGATCAACCGTTGTGAAAATATTATATAGTTGAACGTACCTTTTAGATGAATGAGTCAGTCGACAACCGACCATCCAAAACGCGTCGGCGATTGTCTTTCGAGAGTCTGTGAGTACAAGTGTTCGTGCTTTATAAGGCAAGCACCAGGCATATTATCAAAAAATTATATCTAACGTTCGTAATCTTATCAATCGGCGCGTTGTCACGATCGAAGTTATTATATCTAGTTGAATGGTGGCCAGAAAATGTACAATTCTACATCTATGAAATCTGTACTTCTGCTGTGGGTCTACGACGTTTCTTCGAAACGTAAATCTCGATCCGTCGGATTTTATCGAGAAATTAAGATGAAAATGCAGACGATACGATTGAATTGCGTCTCGAGCAGCGTCGAAATTAGGTAGAATCGATTTCGCCACTTTTCCGTTCTCGTTTATCGTTCGAATGGTTTTATTACGTCTGGTAATTTGATTTGTAAAACAGATAGCGCGATAAATTTTTTATCGCAACCGTTCGTACGTTTTTCTTTTCCTTTCAAAGAAATGTACTTGAATTTTGTTTCCTTCTTAGTTCGTACGAGATTTCTGAAAAATGTCTATGAAATAAATTATTGTTTCTCGTAATAAATTGTTGTAGGCTCAACGCGATAAATTATTAATTCTCGTGGTGCGGAAAGTTGTGTTTCAAAGAAATTCGCCGCGCGAAAAGAATTTGAGCCTCTTCGTGAAACTAGAAAAAATTGTAGACGAATGACGATGCAACAAGTTACGTAAGCTTCCAAGAACATTTTAGACATTTACATTGGACGTTCATTGGAAATTTCGCATTTGTAATAAATTTTTCCCCCCTTTGGCATAGATTCACTTTCACTCGACTTTTATATTTATATTTTATATTTTTATTTTATATTTTTATATTTTTTATACCTTATACTTATTTTAAACTATTTTATACTTACTTTATACTTATTTTATACTACTTTATACTTATTTCATACTACTTTATACTTACTTTATATTTATTTTATACTTACTTTATACTTGTTTTATACTTATTTTATACTATTTTATACTTACTTTATACTTATTTTATACTACTTTATACTTACTTTATACTTATTTTATACTACTTTATACTTACTTTATACTTATTTCATACTACTTCATACTTACTTTATACTTATTTAATAGTATTTTATACTTGCTTTATACTTATTTCATACTACTTTATAATTACTTTATTCTTATTTTATACAATTTTATACTTTATACTTATTTCATACTATTTTATACTTACTTTATTCTTGTTTTATACTATTTTATACTTTATACTTATTTCATACTATTTTATACTGACTTTATACTTATTTTATACTTTATACTTATTTCATACTATTTTATACTTACTTTATACTTATTTTACACTTACTTTATACTATTTTTTATACTTTATACTTTTACCCAAAAATATATCCAAATTTACTCAAATACCATTTTCACCCAAAATATATTTTTACCCTAAATAGAAATTGTTTCGATAAAAACTACTGAATTTCACGGATTCCACGGACGTGGATATTACCGCAAAACTGAACAAAGACCTAATCCTAACGACTTCTTGTTTAGTACGCAGCGTCGATTGTTTAAACGTCACGGAATCATTATTTCGCAATTGAATTACGAAGCCTAATGAAACGTACGAAATATTTGATGTTATCAATCTTACAAAGTATAATGAAACATTTCTTTGAAGAAGAAAACGAGTCATTTAAATGAACATCAAGTAGCAGATCGGACAATATTACTTTAGTCTTGAATTATACTAGCTGCAAGGCAAAATTATTTACAAGACAAAATTATTAAAAATTATTTACAAGACAAAATTATTAAAATATTTCTGGGAATATAGATTAGACATTTGTGAGAATTAATTTTATTTTATACGAAATAATGAATTTTCGTGGAGACTAATAATTCAATAAATAAGCAATTAATTCATTCTCTTTTCAAGTTTATGTCACGAGATCGAAGTTATATATTTCCGAGATTACAGAGTAGATAGCGAGATATTAATATATAGCAATGAATATTTTATAAGTGTACGTTTATGCTCTATAGTAATTTCATTTACGTTTCATAAAATTACAACCAACCCTCTACTCTATGTATTTTCTTTGTTCCCAAAATTTCGCACAATTTGTTACACGTTGATCAAATCGCTTGATAACGCGTCGTTCGATTTTAACATTCCGCGAACACTGAATGTGACTTCTGTCCGAAATTTTATTGTTTCAAGTGACTCACTTTGAAAATTGTCACGCTTCCGCGCTTAAATTCGTGCAGTCATTTGGATGATTTCTCTTAGTATAGCTACGTAATTTGACGAACGAACACCTCGATTATCGACTAACGAACGCCCTTGAAATTGCTGCGAGAATCCATTATCTGATGTTGATCAATGGACGTACGAACGAGAGATAAAGAGACGTGTAAGTACACACCGCTACTAAAGATGATAATGATCGAAGAATGATCTTTAAAGAGAAAGATGCTTCAGCTCAAGTTAATTATATAAAACGATTGAGTAACAAGAGTTATGGAGGAAATATTTTTATTCGATAACGTACAATTGTTCTATTAAATGCTTTTCTTTTTTTTCCTTCTTCCGTTTGAAGAGGGAAACTGTTACAATTTCACTCTAACAGGTTGTTGATACTGTCATGTACTGAATGTGTCATGTGAAATATCGAACGATACCAGGTAGGTATTTCTTAATCCATTCCACATTTTTCAAAGCCACGGACAGTGCCTTCTTCGCTGCATCCAACGTTGATCCTAATTGTTCGGAATGTCCTTGAATAAACGCACGTAGCTGGAAAAATTGGTAAATTAAGCGACGATTCAATTCCTTTAACGGAAAAATTTAATTAACTAACTACTAGATTTAAGTATTTTAATTACTTTAACTTAATTTAATATAATGCAATTTAATTTAAGTAATTAGAATTTAATTATAATTTAATTAAAAGTACTTTAATTTAATCACTTATACGTAATTTAATAGAATCGAATATTTATTACAATAAATATAATATTTATGTAATTTATTATAATAAATATATAATATATAATTATATGATATTTATATAATTTATTGTAATAAATATATAATATATAATTATATAATATTTATATAATAAATATATTTATCATATAAATATTTATTAAATAAAATATTCATTATATAAATCGAATATTTATTATTTAAAATACTGAAAAGTATTTATCTGTGAGACAATACCGATTCTGTTTGTTTCCTCGTTTTCATCCTTTCTCCAATACCGCTAATCACCTTTCCCAAAAAATCGTTTCCCCTTCTGAAACGAGAATTTTACATTTGTCGCGAAGAAATCCTCGACTTGAGATTAAATTTTTGGATGTTTAAAATTATCAAAATATATAATATATAATATATAATATATAATATATGATATATAATATATAATATATAATATATAATATATAATATATAATATATAATATATAATATATAATATATAATATATAATATNATGATATATAATATATAATATATAATATATAATATATAACATATAATATATCAAGAGTGCACTCATCGTTAAAACACATCTTCTTTGAACTTTTCGATCAAATACTCGAAAATATTAAAAAACATTGACACATTTGAGATACAAAATTCCACTGTGCTCGTTTGAAATGCACGAAAACAAAAGTGAATCTATCTATTTTTGATTAAACTTGCGAAACGTGAAACTTCTGTTTGATCATGGAAACATTAAAAATAAATAGAAATATATAAAGCGTATTATATAACTAGAGTATTTGTTGCAATATTTAGTAAAAGAGTCAAATTTTTACATAGGTTATTTTAACGATGTTCTCGTATGTTTAAAAATGTCTAAAAATTCGTAGTCTGGTTAAATAAAATATAGACGTTCCAATGCGGACTAAACGGTCAAAGGTTTTTATAATCTTTGTATACACGTACAGTTCGATGATTCTCTGTAAATTCGACCGAACGAATTCCAAAACGTGATCCACGTTCTCGACATTTCCATCTAAAATGGCATTCACTATCATCATTCTCTGCTGTTTACGGACATTTTGCTCATCTGTTACTGATAATTCGAGATACCTGCGGGAAACAATTCATATGAAAAACTGATTAAATGTAAGTGGGTTTTGTTTGAAGAACATGGCGATTCCAATTGCATTCAGTTTCAAATCAGATTTTAATTCGTACGATCTTATAATAATTTGTGTAATCTGGGAATCCAAATTGATTACTGGGTTATTTCTTATATAGGGTGGCCGCTGAAAAACTGAAGGGTTCGAAAATGTCATAACTTGTTCATTTTCAATCTTCTTTATGTTCTTCTCTTGTAGGTTGTAGAAAAAAATACTGAAAAAATTAATTATATTTCCAAATAAAATAATAAAAAGTTAAAAAAACATGCGTTTGTAAAAGTTACTTTTGTTTCATATCATTCAGTCTTTCAGTGACCAATCTATATCAATATATACTGCTCTCTAAAAAGAATTAGAACAATCGCGCAAATGATGAACTCGTTTTGTTTTATTTTCCAACGAAATTTCAAAAAACAAAACGATTGAAAATGAAAACTCTCCGATTCGTGCAATCCGAAATTTCTACGTAATTGCAATTCTTCTGGCGAGCTGTGTGTAAATTAAAATTTTGATATTGTACAATTATAATTATGATATAAATACATTTATATTTATAATAATTATAAATACTAATTAACTGTATAGTTAAATATTAATTAGAGAAGTTAATTCTAATTAATTCTGATTAAATAAATCTGATTAAATAAACGAACGTTTCTTGAACATTAAAATAGAAAGCTTACGAATTGATCAATTCAGATTCTCGTGTACATCCAAGGCCTTGCAGCAATAGATCTTGCTCAGTCTGTAGATCGGTGTTCAACCATCTATCCATCACCAAGTACCAATCTTTTCCGCCACTGCTACGAATTCCCTCGCAATAAACGAAACTCTTAACATCTCGCGGTATACTGACAGGAACAGAAATGAAATTTATCATTAATTATTAATTGTGCATAATGATTAGATATTTTCATTGTACGTATTCAGGATGTTCAGTATTTGCGTGACATGAAGGATGTCAATAACTAATGTTTTTTAATATACGTTTATTATACAAATTTTTAATATATTAATATATTAACATTTATTATATTATGAATTTTTAACGTAATAATATATATTATATAAATTTAGTATATTAATATTTGGAGTAATATTTACTATATTTAATATACATAATTATATAAATTTTTAATATAGTAACATATTAATATTTACTATAATATTTACTATATATAATATACATAATTATATAAATTTTTAACATAGTAATATATTAATATTTATTATAATATTTATTATATAACATTTATTATATTAACTATAATTTGAAAATATTACGCATCGTCAGTTACTTCCCTATGTCAAATTTTATATAAAAAATGTGACATAAAATTGAAAAAGAAATTAATTAATTGTTTATTTATTTAATTATTATTTTCCACGAAATTCATTATTTCATATAAAATGAAATTAATTCTCGCAAATGTCTAATCAATATTTCCAGGAATATTATAATTAATTTTGCTTTGCAATTAAGATAATTCAAGATTAAAATAAAATTTTCCGATCTGCTACTTGATATCACGCAAATTTGATTTAAATAATTCCTTTTCTTCTTCAAAGAAATGTTTCATAATATTTTGTAACATTGATAACATCAAATATTTCATACGTTTCATTAGGCTTTGTAATCCAATTGCGAAACAATGATTCCGAGACGTTTAAACAATCGACGCTGCGTACTAAACAAGAAGTCGTTAGGATTAGCTCTTTGTTCAGTTTTGCGTTAATATCCTCGTCTTTGGAATCCGTGAAATTCAGTTGCTTGTACATCGGTTGTAATAAACGATTTGCATGCTCCTGTTGTTGAACATAATTTGCACTTGATAATTTGAAGTGAGTGAAAAGTTGTCATTGAAATGTGAAGCAATTGTACGAAAGCTGTGAATAATTATCAGGTAACAAAATGCTATCTTGCAACCATATTTCGATTGATAATTGTTTTATAGTCTTAGTATCGAATTTTGTGAAATATCACTAAAAACCCAATCAAAAATGTTCAATGCAATCATTGCTAAAATATATCGTTGTCTGGTATTATAAACTTTGTATTATAAACCTTTAATTTAATACAATTAATTAATGAAATGTAATTGATTCAATACTTGTTGATTAAATAAAAAATAAAATTAAATAAAAATTAAATTTAGAAGCAGATTAAATAAGAATCCTAATAATTTTAATTCTTTTAAATTTAATTTCAATTCAATTTTTAAAAGTTTTCTCATAGTCTCAAGTAGTATAAAAGTATAAAACTATAAAATATAAAATGTAATTTTTATATATAAAAGTAAAAAATGTAAAATATAAAAATAAGAAAATATAAAATATAAAACATCAAATATGAAATATAAAACATAAAATATAAAATAGAAAGTATAAAATGTAAAGTATAAAATTTAAAATATAAAATGTAAAATATAAAAATAAAACATAAAATATAAAATATAAAACATAAAATATAAAATATAAAATATAAAATATAAAATATAAAATATAAAATATAAAATATAAAACATAAAACATAAAATATAAAATATAAAGCATAAAATATAAAATATAAAATATAAATTATAAAATATAAGATACAAAATATAAAATAGAAATTATAAAATATAAGATACAAAATATAAAATATAAAATACAAAATACAAAATACAAAATAAAATATAAAAGTAATATTTCTATAAAAGTAATTTTTATAGTCTCTCAATGTTCAGTTCCCAAAATTTTTAATGGTTACCTTTTACCCACTATTAGGTATTGCTGTACTTACTTGAAAAGCTCGTTGCACCCTCGTCCCGCTCAACATGTTGTTCAGAAACTTCAAATTATTGACAGCAGCGACCCACGGCTCGTAATCGATCTCTTGGACCAAATATTTCGAGAGGTTAAACGCGATCGAATAATCTATATAACCTGCTCTGGCTAAATTAAACGCGTCGTCTATGAGAGCAGCTCTGTTCACTCGGTGTATCTTCAGAAAATCCTTCGAGCTCAAGTAACGCGCGATCATCTTCCAATTGTCTTCGTCGTAATTCACTCGATAATATCCAGTTTGCTGGATGTTGAAAATAATCCATCTGCTCGAGGAAATATTGAGTGGCGCTGTGAAATTTTCACATTTTCGCTTCAGCCAGTATCTCGGTTTGACGGCGGAGAAATTCCTGGCTGTTTCAGTAGTGAAGGTCAATGGTATCCACCATTTCAATTCCGACTGCGACTGACCGCCAGTTTTGTTCCAACGAAACCGTTTCTGCGACACGATGAACGTTCCCGTATCGTAATTCCTGGTGACAGTCACCAAAGGATATCCTGGTTGGTTCGTCCACGATTCCATGATACCTTTAATCGACATATTTCTCGGCAGTTGGCCGTGGTTGTCAGTGGAACTTTGCAGATGTCTGTACAGATCGTGTGGAGTGGCTGCATCGTACGACCTGACATCGCGGAAAACAATTTTCTTTAGCTTTCGAGGTTAATCTCTTAATTTTTCAATTTCTGTAATTTTCGAAAGTAATTTCTTCGGTATTTAATTACGTTTACAAGCAAGACAGAAAGCGTTTGAATTACGTTGAATAATTGTGAAAATAATGTCAATCGACGAGGTGGATAAATTGAATTCTGTAGATCGAATGTTGTTATAAATGTTGCAACATTTGCATTGGGAATTTTCATACATTTATACGCAAATTTAAATACGCAAAAATCCAGAACGATACAAAAGATATAGAAAAATGTAAAATTATGGAAAGTAGAGTATTTCTTGTAACAAATGCTCAAGTTTCATTTCTTCAGTCGTATTCGCAAAAACGTGAGACTCGTTACTTAACAATGAAAATTTTAGTAATAATCGCTGATATGCATTACGCGCGCTACGTGAATGAAATTCTTTCATGTCTTTCATGTTATTTAAAAATAACGTAAATTATTGTAACACTTTGTAAAATACTCAAGTCATTGAGCAAAAATGTTGCTGATATCATTGCAGCACTTGTTCTTTTATTACAAAGTGTGTACAAGTTTTATCTAGTTTCTTAAATTGATAAGATATAAATTAATTCGATGCTTCCTTTATTATATAAATATTTCACACTTACGAGCATATTGTTTCAAAATAATTTCAAGGCACATTCAACTACAATTAAGTTATACAAAACCATACCGTAATAAATTTCAGTCTTAAAATTAATTGCAATACTTGTTGCACGATGACTCGTAAAAAAATAAAAATAAATAAAATTAATAAAAGAATGATATAAATATATAAAAACAGATGTAATTAATAAAATTATGATTAATAAATATAATTAATCAAATTGTAATTTATAAAAATAATTAATTATGTTTTGTATTTACAAAATCATGAAATTATAAAAATTACTAAATATATTAATTATATTTATAAAATTATAAAAATTATTAAATATATTAATTACATTTGTAAAATTATAAAATTATAAAAATTATTAAATATAATTAATTGTATTTATAAAATTATAAAATTATAAAAGCTGTATAATATAATTAATTATATTTGTAAAATTATAAAATTATAAAAACTGTTAAATATAACTAATTATATTTATAAAATTATAAAAACTGTTAAATATAATTAATTATATTTATAAAATTATAAAATTATAAAGTTTATTAAATATAATTAGTTATATTTATAAAATTATAATTATATAATATAAATATAATTATATATATTAATAAATATAATTATATAATAAAAGTATTAATAAAAGAATAAAGCGAAATACATATCGAAAGCTTCATGGAAATGGAATGACTGTTAAAAATCGACAAATGAATTCTTTCATATTATTAGCGAAAAAACAGAATATCTGATTTTGTAAAATGCTCACATGTTTTTCACGTAGCTTCGTAAACCATCTCGAAACGCTGATTCACCGATCACGTGAGAGAGCATGCGGATCACAGACGCACCTAAAACAAGCCACTCAATTTTTTCCAGTTGCTCAAGATCCAGTTGCTATCGATAATTCACAGTTATCGAGCTGCTGAAAATAATCAACTTGGAGAAAAATAGAGAAATAAATAATCAAGTGTTATTAGGTTTGATACTTTCATGACCAATGTCACACGATGGATTAACAATCAACAATTATATTCAATTTACTGTGGAATTAGAAGATTACCCATTTATCTATGAAAATATTGTAGCAATATGTTTCAGATTTTATCTAAAAGATAAAATAATATTTTTATAATCTTTATACTTTTATTTGTTCTATTTTTATTTGTTTATATATGTATTTCCACTATTGGATTTCAAAAGTCAATGAAATCGTGAACACAATGTTCTACGTAACGTATCATGAAGAATGAAATTATTCGATTCGTCCGTCATTTTCCAAATAAGATAATACTAATTTCTAATTTCTAATTTTTAATCCTACGAACCACCATTGCGAATTATTACCATATTGAATATAAATCGAGAGATGGAATAGAAAGAATATTTTTACGCTATTATAACTCAATATTATTTACAACTTATTGTTAGTTAAAAAGTATTTATAACTCAATATCATAAATGATATTATCACTTAATATTTTAGGAACAGGGAAGAATATTTTTACGCTACACGTATTATAAGATTCCTCTCTTAGCTAAATTATTTGACAAAAACTCGAACCAAGTGTTTCTACCTTTTTTGTACGAAACGAAATCTAGCACCGCCATGATGCTATTAGGAGATCCAACGTTCCTCCCGTTCATAACTCTGTCGTGATCCGCCGAGTCCAGCAACATCGCAGCTTGCAACGTATCTACCACGAATTTGTCCATCATTCTCCATGTTGGCTGCACCATCGACACTGCGAAATATTGGAAATACGAGGCGAGGCCCTCCTTTAACCAAGCAACGTCCCAGAACGCTGGTGTGACCAGGTTGCCAAACCACGTGTGAGCGTACTCGTGGGCCATTGTGGTGAATCCGTCGAGCATGTTTCTCGTAGGTGTTAGCCAATCGTCGTACAACACCACAGACTCTCTGTACGTGATCATGCCCCAGTTTTCCATCGCGTGGAAATTGAAATCGGGAACCGCGATCTGATCCATCTTCGGGATTGGATTGTCGACGAGGAGCCAATGGTTCAGGAACGAGTAGATCGACTGGCCTTGATTCAGAGCGATCGATCCACGGTGATTCATCGATCGTCGCGTCCACATTCGAAAACTCTGCGAAAATCGGAGGTGATTCGTCGACGATTCGGAAACGAAGTCGTGCATCGCCCAGCCTAACTGGTACGTGGACATCCGTGGTGTTGCTTCGAATATGTACTCGTTTCTGTTTACAAAAAGCATGTAAATTTTAATACTATTATCGATATTAAAGTGATTTTAATAACGATAAAGTTTTGGAGTATCTGTTTTGTATTTCAATCGCTTAGCAAACGTAAATTTTCAAGTATAAAAGTGTGAACATAAGAATGTAAATTTTAATACTATCTACTATACTATTTACTATTTAATACTATTTACTTTATTTTAATACTATTATCGATATTAAAGTGATTTTAATAACGACAAAAGTTCTGGAGTTTTCGTTTTATATTTCAATTGCTTAGCGATCGTAGATTTTCAAGTATAAAAGTGTGAATATAAGGATGTAAATTTTAATACTAATACTATCGATATTAAAGTGATTTTAATAACGATAAAGTTTTGGAGTTTTTGTTTTGTATTTCAATTGTTTAGCGATCGTAAATTTTCAAGTATAAATGTGAATATAATAATATAAATTTTAATA